CACATCGTGCGCTGACTCACACATCCTACACTCACTCAACCTAATACTGACTTACTCATCATACGCTGACTCGCACATCATACGCTGACTCACACATCATACGCTGACTCGCACATCATACACTCACTCACGCTGCTGCTGACTCACTCACATATCATACACTGGGAGTGTCGTGCTGCCAGCTATAGCTGCAGTTTTTTGTCGTACGTGTTATGTATATCGTTTATTGTTAAATTTAAAACCACAGTTCCTATGATTACTATTGTTGCATTTTTTGTAGCTTTATTTTGGTCTGGTTGTGGTGTAATAATTTTCTGCAATGTAGATTCATATTTTGTTTGTTGCGGTTGCACCCGACTTACAGTGAGGGAAAAAGGGATTTGATCCCCTGCTGATTTTGTACATTTGCCCACTGACAAAGAAATGATCAGTCTATAATTTTGAACAGTGAGAGACAGAAGAGCGACAAAAAAATCCAGAAAAACGCATGTCAAAAATGTTATAAATTGATTTGCATTTTAATGAGGAAATAAGTATTTGACCCCCTCTCAATCAGAAAGATTTCTGGCTCCCAGGTGTCTTTTATAGGAGCACACTCATAAAGGGAGTGCTTCTAATCTCAGCTTGTTACCTGTTTAAAAGACACCTGTCCACAGAAGCAATCAATCAATCAGATTCCAAACTCTCCACCATGGCCAAGACCAAAGAGCTCTCCAAGGATGTCAGGGACAAGATTGTAGACTTACACAAGGCTGGAATGGGCTACAAGATCATTGCCAAGCAGCTTGGCGAGAAGGTGACAACATTTGGTGCGATTATTCGCAAATGGAAGAAATACAAAAGAACTGTTAATCTCCCTCGACCTGGGGCTCCATGCAAGATCTCACTCACCTCGTGGAGTTGCAATGATCATGAGAACGGTGAGGAATCAGCCCAGAACTACACGGGAGGATCTTGTCAATGATTTCAAGGCAGCTGGGACCATAGTCACCAAGAAAACAATTGGTAACACATTACGCCGTGAAGGACTGAAATCCTGCAGCGCCAGCAAGATGCCCCGGCTCAAGAAAGCACATATACATGCCCGTCTGAAGTTTGCCAATGAACATCTGAATGATTCAGAGGACAACTGGGTGAAAGTGTTGTGGTCAGATGAGACCAAAATGGAGCTCTTTGGCATCAACTCATCTCGCCGTGTTTGGAGGAGGAATGCTGCCTATGACCCCAAGAACACCATCCCCACCGCCAAACATGGAGGTGGAAACATTATGCTTTGGAGGTGTTTTTCTGCTAATCGGACAGGACAACTTCCCTGCATCAAAGGGATGATGGACGGGGCCATGTACCGTCAAATCTTGGGTGAGAACCTTCTTCCCTCAGCCAGAGCATTGAAAATGGGTCGTGGATGGGTATTCCAGCATGACAATGACCCAAAACACACGGCCAAGGCAACAAAGGAGTGGCTCAAGAAGAAGCACATTAAGGTCCTGGAGTGGCCTAGCCAGTCTCCAGACCTTAATCCCATAGAAAATCTGGAGGGAGCTGAAGGTTCGAGTTGCCAAACGTCAGCCTCGAAACCTTAATGACTTGGAGAAGATCTGCAAAGAGCAGTGGGACAAAATCCCTCCTGAGATGTGGGCAAACCTGGTGGCCAACTACAAGAAACGTCTGACCTCTGTGATTGCCAACAAGGGTTTTGCCACCAAGTACTAAGCCATGTTTTGCAGAGGGGTCAAATACTTATTTCCTTCATTAAAATGCAAATACATTTTTAACATTTTTGACATGCGTTTTTCTGGATTTTTGTTGTTGTTATTATGTCTCTCACTGTTCAAATAAACCTACCATTAAAATTATAGACTGATCATTTCTTTGTCAGTGGGCAAACGTACAAAATCAGCAGGGGATCAAATCCTTTTTTTTCCCTCACTGTAAGAGCCGCATGGCTCACAGGGCTATACCTAATAAATGAAACTTGAAACTTGTCAAGATCGGTTTCTGTGGAGGAGGCTTGGGAATGACGCTTCTGGGCAGTTGAAGGCAGCCGCACTTCAACAACAACGGAGGGCAGAGAGGAACGGCGCTCGCAACGAGTGAAGCAAGTTGGCACAGCGAGGAGCACAGGTGGTGCATCTGTCAGTCAACTCAGTTTACTACCCATAGCACCCGGGTCTATTCTGTGATCTCCCGCCAGCGAGCCATCAACATTTCAGGTGGCCTTAAGGTGCACTGAGCTTGACACAAAGCGCCGTGCGTTCAGAGTATTTGGCAGCTTTAAATGTCCACGTGATAAGCCACTTCGTTGAGCTATAATTTGTGGCCAAGGTCGCTTCTGAGACAAAGAAGTACAGAGCTCAGTGGGCTATTCCTGGTAAGATAAAACATAGTTTCAAGAGTTTTAGTTTAAGTTTAGTGTCTTGATGAAAGCCCACTCATTTGTCTTAGCTGGTAATATAACGACTCTAATCTGTACTTTTTTCTCTGGTTCACGTGTTTTATTTCTGTATCTCAAATAAATCCAAGCTCCTTTGCGCACTTTGAAGCCTATGTCCCATATTTACGCAATTATTAATGTTTTCTTCTCTAAACACTCGAGCACTACTGGACTCTATTATCATAATAACCCGTCATTCTTACATCCAAAGCCCTCCCATACTGTCTATTTAACTATTTAGCTTATTTTTGTTTACGAGGTAAAGCCCACTGAGCTATATAGCTTTTTTTCAGAAGCGACCTGGCCACAAATGACATCTCAAATAAGTGGCTTATCACGTGGAAATTTATAGCAGCCAAATAGCTGGTAACAGGAAAAATATACTGTAAGTACAAATACAGTTTTTAATAGTTGTAGTTCATATATATACTACAACTATTAGGTCTAAACAGCAGTTGTTGCATTGCTGCAATCACAGTTATAGAACGTAGATGTTATATTCTTAGCTCTTTCGGTAAAGTCACGTTGAAGGGAAACAATAAAATAATATATATAAAATATATGAATTACTGCAGTCACGAAAGCTTTAAATCAAAACGTAGATGTTGTGAAGATGTGTGTTTGCGTGTCGTTGGTGAGAGTTACTTTGCGCGTGAGAATGTACACACGCTGTGCATGCAGTGTATACTATACCCTTGTAAGTTGTGAAATCGTCTTTTTTATTGTGTGCTTGTATTATGTATATTTAATCATGCTAGTATTGTCAATGTGTGTTAATGAGATGACACGTGTGGACACAGAGTCCGTACCATGTTGTAATTATGCTTGTCTTAACATCAGGGCCCTTATGTGTATGCTCGCCAACAGCACTTTGCCCCAACAGTCTGCTAAGGCTACACGGGGGATCTTTGTCCTTGTGTGTGTGACCTGGGTTCGATACCCGGTCATGATCGACTCAGCCTGAGATAAGCTCCTGGTGTGGCGTCTGTAAATATCAGCACTGGGGAGAGACACGGACGCCTATACGAGGGATATGACGGGACAGAGTGTGCAATGCACGCGAATAGCCTGATGTGTGCGTGTTACTTTATTCCACCAGGCTTGACTCATGGTTTCATCTGCCAAGTTGTTTGGGCGTTTCCCCAAGTGTGTGTGTGTGTGCTGGAGGAATCACCCACACACATCCCCCGCTCGCCCCATCCCTTGCTAACCACCCACCCCCCCAAAGACACAAATGTTCCCCCGCATAACATTAACAGACTGTTGGGTCGAGTGCTGTTAGCGAGTAGCAGCACATATGAAGGCCGGCACGGGCACACGACGGAGTGGGTGACCAGCACCACGCACGAGCGCCTTTGTCTCCCCAGTAGCGATGCTTACCACAAAGCAGCAGGTACTCATTTGAGGCTGAGTCGACTTGGGGAGGGGGGAGAGGGGAGGGGTGAGGCCCATGACCGGTTCAGATAATAATCGTCACCGGTGTTGGCCGTGAGCGGAAATCGAACTCGGGTCGCCGGGTTCGGAGCGCAGCGTCGCGTTAAACCGCTGCGGCCCCCCAATCCACCCACCCACCACCACCACCACTCCCCCCCCCCAATCCACCCACCCACCACCACTCCCCCCCCCCAATCCACCCACCCACCACCACCACCACTCCCCCCCCCAATCCACCCACCCACCACCACCACCACTCCCCCCCCAATCCACCCACCCACCACCACCACCACTCCCCCCCCCAATCCACCCACCCACCACCACCACCACTCCCCCCCCCAATCCACCCACCCACCACCACCACCACTCCCCCCCCAATCCACCCACCCACCACCACCACCACTCCCCCCCCCAATCCACCCACCCACCACCACCACCCCTCCCCCCCCCCAATCCACCCACCCACCACCACCACCACTCCCCCCCCAATCCACCCACCCACCACCACCACCACTCCCCCCCCCAATCCACCCACCCACCACCACCACCACTCCCCCCCCCCAATCCACCCACCCACCACCACCACCACTCCCCCCCCAATCCACCCACCCACCACCACTCCCCCCCAAACCACCCACCCACCACCACCACTCCCCCCCCAATCCACCCACCCACCACCACCACTCCCCCCCCAAACCACCCACCCACCACCACCACTCCCCCCCCAATCCACCCACCCACCACCACCACCACTCCCCCCTCAATCCACCCACCCACCACCACCACTCCCCCCCCAATCCACCCACCCACCACCACCACCACTCCCCCCTCAATCCACCCACCCACCACCACCACTCCCCCCCCCAATCCACCCACCCACAACCACTCCCCCCCCCAATCCACCCACCCACAACCACTCCCCCCCCCAATCCACCCACCACCACTCCCCCCCCCAATCCACCCACCCACCACCACTCCCCCCCCCCAATCCACCCACCCACCAGCACCACAACATCATCGTCATCCCTTCCAACCACACCCATGGCAGGCTTGGCCCCCTCCACCCTGTGCCCCACCCTAACCCGAACCCTCGCTCCCTCCCCCACGCTCGAATGATCTCCCAGCACCACCCCCCCGCCACCCCCAACACTTTCCCATGTCATCTGGCAGCAGTGGCTCGGCTCGCGCTCAGACGCCCACCGCCCGCGACTCGACGAGGAGGACGACATCCGTGGTGGCTGTGAGAAAGCGACTCCGCTACTACGTCGTTCGCGCTCGGCAGGGACAGGCGAGCTCAGCGGCTTGACGGGCGGCATTGCCTCGGTGGTAGGTGTGTGACATTCACTTCAATGTGGTGCCGTGTGCTGGGGTGTGCTCCAGATGTCTTGTGACCGCCACCATCACCACCACCACATTTAATTCTCCAAAACTTTATTTTTGTTTCAAGTAAAGTTTATTTTAAACAGACATTAATATGCAAAGGGGTGGGGAGAAACATTTGTAGGGGTTAATTAATTGGGGGGGGGGGTGTCACAGGACATCTGGACCAACCCTGTACATTCAGAATGTTGGATGTGTTACGCAACGACAACAACAAAAAACAAGCAGCTTTAACTCTTTAAAATGTTGTTTTTGTTCAACATTTAAATGCTGGTGTATATTCGTCGGGTTTTTTTTTTCAATGTTTGACTTGACGTGTTCATATTCCTTGCACGCAGGGTCGCGGAGTGGTTATTTAAAACCATCGCCTGCGTTGCAGCGCATTGGCTCGTGGGCATTTTTCTGCGTGTGTTGGTTGTTTGACAGTCCTCGTTTAGCGTTCATGTTTTTTTTTTAACATCGCTCTTTTACTCACGATGCCCCACATATTCCGTCACAGTCGTGACTGGCAACGCGCGCAGGTCTCAATGCATTCACGACATTCCCAGCGTCGTACTTTTGTGTTCTGCGCATTCAGGGGACCGCAGCGGATGGCGATATGTGAACTACCTCGCCTGGTATACAGGAGGTCGTGGGTTCGATCCCGACCCCGACCTGCTGTATATTTGGAGTTTGCATATTCTGCCCGTGGCCGCGTGGATTTGTCTCCCGGTCCTCCGGGTCTTCCCTCCACAGTTAGAATCAACATCGTGCGTTTCGAGTATTCGGCTGCTACTATACATTTCCACACGATAAGCCACTTTGTTGAGCTATCATTTGTGGCCAGGTCGCTTCTGATAAAGAGCTATACAGCTCATTGGACCTTACCTGGTACAATAAAACAAAATAAAACGTTTCGTTTAGTATATCATGATAATGTACAAAGGACTACACGCATTGCAGTATGTTAAACGTTTAGTTTAATCGTCGTCATATTTCATGAATTATTCATCTACCAGCCTAGTAAACAACATTGGGCCCACGTTAGCATGTGGTAGGAACCGTTGGGCCAACGTCGTTGGTCCAAGGTTCCACGTCTTTACTGGGAGTGCATTGACTGACCGTCTCTCAACGGTCCTGCGATGATAAGTGTAGAAGATGCGCGCGTGTGCAATGGCATAGCTCAGTATCACGTGCGTACGTACGCTGGGACTTCTGTTCACGCCGTACGTAGCCAGCCGTGCTAAGGACAACAAACTAAACACACACAATGAACAGTTCTATGGTGAGAACTTGGGTGAGAGATCGAAGTTGTAATGGATGAGAGTTAACACATGTCTTGCATTGAGCAAGGTTGTTATGTGTGTACGTTATGTCGAACTTCTTTCGCACCGTACGCAGTCAACCGTGCTAATCGGACGTGCGGGGGGAAGACAAGGAGCTAGCAAAAAGAACGCACGCTCAATTATGCACTGAATAATTCTGCGGTTGCAGTAAGACGTTTGCAAAATGGGTGATTAGAAATATCGTGTACAAACACATCCCTTGAACACTTATTTCAATATACAGTGGTTCATAGCCAGTGAAAGATTGGAAGTGACCCCACGCGTTGTTGAGCAGTTGGTGTTGTTTCATGCGTGCTGGCCATGCCGAGCCAGTGGTGAACATTCCACGTTTCTATGGTGGGATCCAGACCTCCCTGCAGCACAAGAGTTGACAATTTCCCATCGAGTGATCCTGGTGTGCCTGGTGGTGTTCACTTTACCAGTCCCCCTGAGGGCCTGACGGGCACAATCCACCCTGTCTTGGACTAGAACTTGTGTATTTAATCCAAACTTATTACACAGCATGCGTCGATCAAATTCTTTGTTTTATTAATAAAAGCCAACATAGTTTGCCAGCGCTTTTCTCCACCAAGAGCCCTGAGCCAGCAGTGGTAATTCCACGTTCCGAGAAGCGGGGCCTAGTTCCAGCCTTAAGTTGATCTTCTTTCGTACGGCCGATGTAGACGCAGAGCAACAACTACAATCTCACAGCCTTAAGTGATGACTTCCCACAAAACAAATCTCATTTAACCGACGCCCCCCCCTCTCCTCCCGTGAGAAACGAAGGAGTGCTTGGAGCCCACCGTGGGATTTAAACTTGACGGCCGCACCAGTTGTGAGTCGAGCGTTCTTACACACAGCGGCAGCCTTCGCCCGCGCCAAATTCTTCTATTATTAGATAAGTGCACAGAGTCGGAGGCTTCAAAATACGCGTCATGTTTCCGTACACTGTATTTATTTTTAATTTAGTTTTCTCGTAATGGTGTACGGGTGCTCTTCATTTCTCTACGAAATGGATACCGCGTGGACTCGAGGCTACTCGGAGAGATGGTAGCACAGCGGTGGATTTTTATTTTTTGTATCCATCCACCCGTTTAGATATCTCGGTTGTTCATGCCCTCTCATGCGTGGGGGTTTTCTCCAGAAGCGCCTGGATCCTCCCACGCGCAAATCACCACTCATCGCTAGAATTCGCCGGCGCAGGACAGGGCATTTATTTATGGAGTTATGATCGCACTTTTCCACGTATCTGTGGACATGATGGGGTGGGAGAGAGGAGGGGGCCGGGGGGAGCAGTGGCGAAAGAGTTTGTGCATTGCGCTAAGAGCCCCCAGCGTCGTGAGCTTTTGGTCTGAGCACGGCTTTCATCAGTGGCGAGCAATATCCTTCACCAACTCGCACCGACCAGCGTGGTGAAACGTGGACAAATAGCCACCATGGTCTGCATGCACTACATGAGGAGGCCTTCTTCATCCAGCAGTGCATTGACGCATGGGCCCTTCAATTACCATTTATTGTTATCGATATTCATGACATAGGTCACGCGGTATTCACATCCACCGAACACAGTTTTTCCGAGTATCCCTTTTGCCCTTACATCTCGTGAACGTTAAAGACTAATAAATCACGTGTACACGGCACACCGGGCAGACATGCCGATAGGCGCCAAGGGCGCTGCTATATCGGCTACGGCCGAGAGGTTTCTCAAAATATTCCCCGTCTACGGTTTCTCCCACGCCAAATGTGAACCCTTCCCGCTGCACCGGTGTCGACTTGCGGCCAACCACAAACCATAAACAAATGGGGTCCTTGCGCTCACGTGCTTGCGGGGAATCTGAGCGGCGATGACGCAGGTGATCTGTACCGTTTTTAAAAACAACAACAACAACAAAAGATCCTCATGTCGATTGAACGTTGCCGGAAGTTCGTCGGCCACTCTTGGACATCGTGCCAACCTGTGTTGATTGTTGGTGTCGGTGTTTCATCACGGCGCACACGGTTGTGCTTTGACGTCAAGCAGTGGCGGTTTCAGCCAGAGACGCGGAGACGCTTTGGTCACGGGGGGCGTCTTCCAAGACTCTTTCAGCAACGCATTTGTCACGTGGTGTTTTGGGTTTTTTTACACAAACATGGCATCATTTATAATTATCAGCATACTTTAGATAGTAATGATAATAGATTACATTTTTAAAGTGCCTTTCTGCAAGGTACTCAATCATGGCGTCTGAGTAAGTTGCATTTGGTCTCATTTTCCAGTACCCGACTGAAGTTTTCCAGTTTGGTGAACTGATAATGCATGACTTAAAAGCAAAACAGTATATTGTTTACGTATGTATGTAGGTTTAATGTCTTTCTCAGCGTACGTAGCCAACCGTGCTAATCGGAGGTGCGGGAATGGATGCGCTTAAAATATATATACGTAGTATCGTGTATAATCACATTCAGTTTCAGAAAAAAAATGCAAGATTTTGTGTAAGTACTGTATGAGCTGAATCATGAATGGCGTACTTAATTGCCTGTAAAAATCCCACGATAATCTTGAACAGAATGGCCCGTTGTGCATCAAGGGTTAAGTGGCAGTTTGGCACACACCAAAAAAGATTTTTAAAAACCTCATCGGATTAAATTTGCTCTTGACAATTATTTGGTGTTAGAGTAACTCAGTAGCTGCTACTATGGAAACTGTTGACTGCTGCATATGGGATACCACATCAATATTCATTATAGCTGGCAGCATGTGCTGCTACATAAGTAAGAATACAACTGTAAACACAAAAGTGTCTTCTTTCATCGTACAAATATATAAATGACTGCAGAATACAATGTTTTGTCCATTAGCCAATGGGCATTCCGATCCAACGTTTTCCGGACAGCACTTGCTTAAAGAGGGAAACTCTGGGTTGGTTTCGGATTTAAGGGTCTCATCAGCAGGGTGAGAGCGCGTTCCCCGTCGCAAAATACTGAAAGCAGAATGTTGCCAAACGAACCTCAAAAAGTAACTAAAAATACCTCCTAAAGTCGTCAAATACGTCACTACGCAGTACACCAACTATTAAACGTAGGTAGTTGATACATGACCCTAACCGCGAACCTGGCACCGCTTTAAAATGTGCACTTCGTCCCAGAGAGTGGCTGGGCTTGTCGCGAGCAGCTTTGACGAAATGCTGTCGCTAAGGAGGCCCGACACATTCACGAGCACTGGCGACAAAAATCACCGAGTTGGCAACACCGCTCGTGCCTGTTACAGTGAGGGAAAAAAAGTATTTGATCCCCTCCTGATTTTGTACGTTTGCCCACTGACAAAGAAATTATCAGTCTATAATTTTAATGGTAGGTTTATTTGAACAGTGAGAGACAGAATAACAACGAAAAAATCCAGAAAAACGCATGTCAAAAATGTTATAAAACGATTTGCATTTTAATGAGGGAAATAAGTATTTGACCCCTCTGCAGAACATGGCCTAGTACTTGGTGGCAAAACCCTTGTTGGCAATCACAGAGGTCAGACGTTTCTTGTAGTTGGCCACCAGGTTTGCACACATCTCAGAAGGGATTTTGTCCCACTCCTCTTTGCAGATCTTCTCCAAGTCATTAAGATTTCGAGGCTGACGTTTGGCAACTCGAACCTTCAGCTCCCTCCACAGAT